CCCGCCGCGCCCGCAGCTCCCAGGCGCCAGGTTCCACTTCCGGTTCCGTGGGACGGGGGCGGGGCCGTATCCGGGTCCGGGCGAGGCTCCGCCCCCTCCGCCTGCTGGTTCTGACCCAGGGCGAGTGAGGGCCTGAGCTCCCGGCGAGCGATCCTGCAAGCATGCCCAGGAGTACATGCTGGCGCGCAGCGTCCACCGTGTGCAGGGCAGTGTGCTGGGGCGCGGGAAGCCCAAGGATTCGCAGCACTGCCCCACGCGAGAAAGGGAAAATGAGCCCCCCAAGGGCGGCAGTGCCACATGCTTTGAACTACCACGGCTCAACCTAGGCGCCTGTGACTTCCATTCTGCCGCCCGGAACAAGCATCTTCACTCTCCATCCCTCTCTGTCCATCATCCATGTCTCCACCCACCCTCCATTCACCTTTCTTTCATCACCAACACACTCACCCATACCCATTCACCCAGCATACATCTTGCCATCCATCCATTCGCTCGCCCTTCCACCCATCTACCCATCCACCTATGCATCCACCCATCATCCATCCAGGGAAGGTCAGAGCTGTGTCAGTGATAGCAAGCTCAGTAGAACAGACATGGACCTTGCCCTCAGGGACCTTCCAGCCTAGAAGGTCCACATAGATTAATCACATAGATACCTAATTAGGAAGTGAGATGCATGCTATGAACAAAAAGTCAAAGGTGTCATGACATTATCCTGGACAGAAGGTAGGACCTGAACCCATCTGGAAGATCAGAGGTTTCTTCGGCAATTCACATTGAGCAGAAATCTGAAGTCCAAATAGAAGTAAACAAGGTAAGAAGACTTTTCCAGGCAGAGAAAACAGCATGTGCAAATGCCCTGAGGCAGGAAAGCTATTGCCCAGAAGAACTGAAAGAAGTTCTGCATAGGGAGGTGATGGGGCCAGGTCCTATAGAGGTTGAAAGATCTCTGCAGGGAACTTGACTTTTATTAGGAGAAAAAAAAAAAAAAAAAAAGAAGTCCTTGGAGGAAGTTAAGCAGAGAATAGACCTCATAAAGTTTGAATTGTACTGAGATCTCTCTGGCTGCTGGGTGGAGAATAGATGAGAACAGGGCCAGGAAGGAACCAAATACAATCAATTCAAACTGCAAACTGGTGGTGGCAGGTAAGGTGGGAAAAAGTGGGTAGATACGAGAGACATTTGGAAAATTAATTTGCCAGATTTGAGGATGGATTGAGGATGTGGGGCAGGGAAGGAAATGTCAGGTGTCAAGGGAGAATTTGTTTTTGAAAGGGAAAATCGTTATTTTTCATACACATATAAAATAAACACATACCACATATAAATAAGGTGTCACCGCTTGTTCAAAGAAGTCAAATGAATGCTAACATGGATTTGCAAAAGCTGATATATCTGTAGGGTAACATTTCATGGTATTTCACAGGACAAAGCTCATTTTCATTTCTACAGACAAGGATTATTTACACCGCTGTCTATGTATGCCTCTATAGAAGTACAAAATAGTCTAGTCAAAATCAAAGACATGGGGCCGGCAGGTGGCATGATGGTTAAGAGCAATGGACTCCTGCATGGTTGACTGTGGTTCAAGTCCTGGACCTGGCAGCTTGCTTTCTCACTTCTCTCTCTCTCTCTCTCTGTCCCTTTCTGGTCAAATTTAAATAAATAAATTAACAAAAAATTTCAATAAAATAATTTTTTAAAAAAAAAAGACACTTATCTTCTAGAATCAGTTGGTCATAGGAAGCTCCAGAATGTTTAATTTAAAAAATTATTTATTTATCTATTTTTAACTTTGCTATAGGGTACATGTATTCACCAGAGAGGGACAGAGAGAAAGGAGAAAGTGAGAAAGGAAACCACCAGGTCCAGGACTCAAACAGTGGTCAGCCGTGTGGGAGTCCAATGGCTTAACCACTATGCCTCCTGCTGGGCCCCAGGCTCTAGAATTTTTCTGGAAGAATGACCATTCTTTTACCCATTTTAAAATCTGGACATTTTCTTTACAAAAGGATGATTCCCAACTCAATAACCCCACATACACGAAGTGGGTGAAACATTAATTCTGCCCCATGTTTGTGGTTGGGGTGGGAGGGATTATTCAGAGCACCCCTCTCCCTTTACTTGGAAAATTGTGGATACTGTTACCTGCTCTCAAGTTTTCCCCACCTCGGGACCAGCAGCTAGTGTAATGGCTATGTCGCTGGACTCCCATGTAGTCGACCGCAGTTCGAGTCCCAGACCCGGTGGCTTAAACTCAAGCCGGGTGTGTGTGCGAGCGTGCCTAAGATCCCGAGAGGAGAATAGAGGATGAGGGATTACAGTGTGGCCATTCCCCCTGGGGGGGTGATTTCTCACTTTCTGTCTCTCTGTCTCTCTCTGTCTTTCTGGCGAGTGCAGGAGCCCTATAGCTTAAAAAAAAAAAAAGTTTTCCCCACCTCTAGTCCAAGCTGTGGGAGGACCCTTGCCTGACTTCAGGGCGCATCCAATAAGCACACTGTACTCCCCTGGGGCTGATTGGCTCAGGGGTGGCCACGTGCCCTACAAGCCAGGAAGAGAACCCTCACCACTGAAGGAGTTGGTTGGCACCTTGATCTTGGACTTCTAGCCTCTAGAACTGTGAGAAGTGAATTTGTGCTATTTAAGCTACCTGGTCTATGGTACTTTGTATGGCAACTCTAGCAGACTCACACAACATAAAAATTATAGTTACTCAATAGATGACATTAACTCTAGATTTACATGATCAAAAAGAAAATTAGTGATTTGGAAGCTATTTCTGAGGAATAACACACAATAGTAAACAGATTCTGAACAATGAAAAGTAAGAAACAGCATATCGGTGAAATGAAAAATGGAACGACTCTCATATACTTAGCAGGAATCCCAACAGGAGAGAATGAAAATAGTGAAGAAATGAAAACTTCAGAAATTACAGGGAACCAGCAGTTAGCGTAATGGCTATGTTGCTGGATTCCCACGTAGTTGACCGCGGTTCGTGTCCCGGACCCGGTGTCTTAGAACTCATGCTGGGCGTGTGTACATGCATGCCCAAGATCCTGAGAGGAGAATGGAGGAGAAGAGATTGTGGCATGACCATCCCCCCTGGGGGGTGATTTCTCGCTTTCTGTCTCTATGTCTCTCTCTGTCTGTCTGGGCGAGCGCACGTACCCTATAGCGAAAACCTCTGAAAAAAAAAAAAAAAAAGAAATTACAGATGAAATATGCAGACCTAAGCAGTAGTATAGCAATGAGTGTTCTTAGAAAAGCAGAATAAGGCCAGCCAGAGGCAGCTGGATCCCTCAGGACTGACTTTGCAGTTCAAGTCTCAGACCTAATGGCTTCAAGAACACATTGGGTGCATGTGCGTGCATGCCCAAAATCTGAAAGGAGAAATGGGGAAGAAATCCAGTATGCCATTCCCCATGAGAGGTGGTGAGAGGTGGTGTTTTCTCACTTTTCCTCCCTCTCTGTGTCTCTCTCGGTGAGTGCACATGCCCTCTAGCAAAAAAATTTTTAAAAAAGGTTTTTCACTGTGCAGTTTTCTTTATATTCTAGCTTTTAATCTAATAGTTAATTTTTTTAATTTTAGGTTTTTATCATAGGGCATGTTCACTCACTGGAAAGAGAGGAAGAGAGAAGGAAAATGAGAAATCACCCCCTAGGGGGCATGGCCATACCGCAGTCTCCTCTCTTCCACTCACTTCCTGGGATTTGGGGCACACACATACATGTGCACAGTGTGGTTTTCAAGCTGCCTGGTCTAGACACAAACCGTAGTCAGCCATGTGGGAGTCCAGCACATTAACCACCACCTGCTGGCCCCTCGACAAGTTAACTTTTAAAACGGGCATGTAGCTTTAATGCAGTTTATTTATTTTATTTTAAATTTATTTATTTACATTGATTCACTGCACATCATTACAGTATACAAAAAGAGATTTCCCATCCAGAATACACTGTACATTGGCTCAATCCGGACACTATG